GACTTCAAATCCAACTGTTTCTCCTGCCAATACCCAAGATTCTCAATCAACCTCAAGTCATATCTCAAATACAACTGAGACCAGAAGTACAACAAATTTAGACATGTTGAGTAGCCCTAACCCTTCTGTGACAAACACACCCTATATCACAAACTCTTCTTCGGTTACGACAGAGAAAACTGCTGCAACATTCTCTTCTACTGAGCCAACTGCAGCACAAACAGCTGCCGCAACTGTAGCAAGTACAGGCCCATCAGACAGTAAAGCAACATTTGCACCTGATTCATCCCTAACAGAGATGCAATCTACACCTTCTTCAACCTTTCCACACACAGAAACAATATTGTCAACAGAGTCAACAACAAACAATGTCACAAATGGTTTAAGCACACCAACAACAGTTTCCTCTTCAAATACAGTGGATTTTCAGACTTCAAATCCAACTGTCTCTCCTGCCACTACCCAAGATTCTCAATCAACCTCAAGTCACATCTCAAATACAACTGAGACCAGAAGTACAACAAATTTAGACATGTTGAGTAGCCCTTACCCATCTGTGACAAACACACCCTATATCACAAACTCTTCTTCGTTTACGACAGAGAAAACTGCTGGAACACTGTCTTCTACTGAGCCAACTGCAGCACAAACAGCTGACGCAACTGTACCAAGTACAGGCGCATCAGAAAGTAAAGCAACATTTGCAACTGATTCATCCCCAACAGAGATGCAATCTACATCTTCTTCAAGCTTTTCACACACAGAAACAGTATTGTCAACAGAGTCAACAACAAACAATGTCACAAATGGGTTAAGTACACCAATAACAGATTCCTCTTCAAATACAGTGGAGTTCCAGACTTCAAATCCAACTGTCTCTCCTGCCACTACCCAAGATTCTCAATCAACCTCAAGTCACATCTCAAATACAACTGCGGCCAGAAGTACAACAAATTTAGACCCGTTGAATAGCCCTAACCCATCTGTGACAAACACACCCTATATCACAAACTCTTCTTCGGTTACGACAGAGAAAACGGCTGGAACATTGTCTTCTACTGAGCCAACTGCAGCAGAAACAGCTGACACAACTGCACCAAGTACAGGCCCATCAGAAAGTAAAGCAACATTTGCAACTGATTCATCCCTAACAGAGATGCAATCTACATCTACTTCAACCTTTCCACACACAGAAACAATATTGTCAACAGAGTCAACAACAAACAATGTCACAAATGGGTTAAGTACACCAACATCAAATTCCTCTTCCAGTACAGTGCATTTCCAGACTTCAGATCCAACTGTCTCTTCTGCCAGTACCCAAGATTCTCAATCAACCTCAAGTCACATCTCAAATACAACTGAGACCAGAAGTACAACAAATTTAGACACGCTGAGTAGCCCTAACCCATCTGTGACAAACACACCCTATATCACAAACTCTTCTTCGGTTACGACAGAGAAAACTGCTGGAACATTGTCTTCTACTGAGCCAACTGCAGCAGAAACAGCTGACACAACTGCACCAAGTACAGGCCCATCAGAAAGTAAAGCAACATTTGCAACTGATTCATCCCTAACAGAGATGCAATCTACACCTTCTTCAACCTTTCCACACACAGAAACAATATTGTCAACAGAGTCAACAACAAACAATATCACAAATGGTTTAAGCACACCAACAACAGTTTCCTCTTCAAATACAGTGGATTTCCAGACTTCAAATCCAACTGTTTCTCCTGCCAATACCCAAGATTCTCAATCAACCTCAAGTCATATCTCAAATACAACTGAGACCAGAAGTACAACAAATTTAGACATGTTGAGTAGCCCTAACCCTTCTGTGACAAACACACCCTATATCACAAACTCTTCTTCGGTTACGACAGAGAAAACTGCTGCAACATTCTCTTCTACTGAGCCAACTGCAGCACAAACAGCTGCCGCAACTGTAGCAAGTACAGGCCCATCAGACAGTAAAGCAACATTTGCACCTGATTCATCCCTAACAGAGATGCAATCTACACCTTCTTCAACCTTTCCACACACAGAAACAATATTGTCAACAGAGTCAACAACAAACAATGTCACAAATGGGTTAAGCACACCAACAACAGTTTCCTCTTCAAATACAGTGGATTTCCAGACTTCAAATCCAACTGTCTCTTCTGCCAGTACCCAAGATTCTCAATCAACCTCAAGTCACATCTCAAATACAACTGAGACCAGAAGTACAACAAATTTAGACACGCTGAGTAGCCCTAACCCATCTGTGACAAACACACCCTATATCACAAACTCTTCTTCGGTTACGACAGAGAAAACTGCTGGAACATTGTCTTCTACTGAGCCAACTGCAGCAGAAACAGCTGACACAACTGCACCAAGCACAGGCCCATCAGAAAGTAAAGCAACATTTGCAACTGATTCATCCCTAACAGAGATGCAATCTACACCTTCTTCAACCTTTCCACACACAGAAACAATATTGTCAACAGAGTCAACAACAAACAATATCACAAATGGGTTAAGCACACCAACAACAGTTTCCTCTTCAAATACAGTGGATTTCCAAACTTCAAATCCAACTGTCTCTCCTGCCAATACCCAAGATTCTCAATCAACCTCAAGTCACATCTCAGATACAACTAAAACCACAAGTACAACAAATTTAGATATGCGGAGCAGTCCTGATCCATCGGTGACAAACACAGATTATATTACAGACTCTACCTCTGTTATAACAGAAAAAACTGTTGGAACATTGTCTTCTAGTGAGCCAACTGCAGCAGAAACAGCTGACAAAACTGTAACAAGTACAGGCCCATCAGACAGTAAAGCAACATTTGTAACTGATTTGTCGACATCTATTTCAACCTTTTCACAAACAGGAACATTAATGTCAACAGAGTCAACCACAGATAAAGACACAACTGGGTTAAGCACACCAAGAACAATTTCATTCTCAAGTACAGGGGTTTTCAAGACGTTGACTTCTAGCGAAACATCAGCCCCACCTACCACAGAGAAACCAACACCAACAAGCATCAGTGATCAGTCCATAACAATGCAACCTTCAATAACTCAGATTGCTTTATCAACTTCACCAGACTCACCTGTAAGATCTACAGTGTCATCAGGAGGTACAGTAACATTTCCAAATGACTCCTCCCTGACAGAAATGCATTTTACATCAATAGCCACCTTTGCCCCCTACACAAGCGTTACAATCAACAGAGTCAACTACAAATTAAGTTACAAATAGTTTAAGAGCACAAACTACTGTTTTCTGAAGAAGTGTCTAAGAATTTATATTTGTTTTATTTTTAAATCATGCAGCTGGTACAAATTTTATCAGATCAACACCTTTAAATTTTGATATTTTTGATAGTCTTAACATATCTTTAATGACAAATGGTCTTTTATTACAGATTCTATAACTACCACCACAGTGAAATCTACTTTTACAGATTCCAGAACATATACTATGACCCAATTTGCTCCTTCTTCTAGAGTTTAAGTAAAAATAGCCGAACAATCAAGTCTGAGTCTTGAAACATCTTCACCAACATAACAATTTTCCATTAATATAGTAACATCAGATTTCCTCAGTTTAAACTCTGCAACAATTGTTGATAAGCCATCTTTTCCTTCTGAACTCTTCTCAACAGTTGCTACAACTCCTCATTGTAAAGACTGTCAGTGCAATGGGGGGGAGTGCTTCTTTAATATGACTCTCGGGGATTGCCAGTGCATATGTCAAGACTTTGTCTTTGGAGATGTCTGCTCTCATGGAGCCAATGAAACAACTCCTCACATTGGTGAGATGATTTATACTCACACACATGTAATGTTGATATACAATATTATGTTGTTACACTGCTGAAAAAAAACAAGGGGAACCCCCTAATAAACCATCTTGGATCTGAATGAAGCAAATATTCTCACACAATACTTTGTCTGTATAGTTGAAGGTGTTGACAACAAAATCACACAATAATCATCAATGGAATTAACCAATGGAGGTCTAGATTTGGAGTCACACACAAAATTAATGTGGAAAAGAACACTACCGGCTAATCCAACTTAGATGTAATATGTGTGGCCTTTAACTTGCCTGTATGATCTCCATACAGGCAAGTGAAGCACTGAGATCTAAGGTCGTACCCCAGGTATTCCACTGATTCCTAAGCTCTGCAGACAGTATGCATCACGGAATCACCCCTGGAGCATTTTAGAGCAAAGAGCAAGGATTTCATTATCACACAGTAGTAGTATACATGTACGCTTTACATAAAACAATAAAGTGGTTATTTGGACAGTACAATCCCTGTAATGCATGCCTGCTCTTTATCTGGCCAACTTACCTTTTAGCCTGTGCCTCTTCCTTTTTGGGGTTATCTTTATAAAACACATGAGTTGTGCATAAAAAATTGAGTGCTTTTCTGCCACCATAATAAACAATTTTATCTATGGTGCCGTATGAAGTGAGATTATCCCGTGGCTCTGTTCTGGAGTCACAGGTAATGTTGTTTTGATGTTTCAGAGTAAAATGCCATCCACAGTCTGCACATCCAGAGTTTAACTTTAAAATATGCTTAGTTTTTTAGCAAACTGATGTTCTGTCTGAATGATCCGCTCTACTCCCGATTGACATGAAGTTGAGGTTTCAAGCATGAAACATAGACTAGCTGTGGAATTTAGAAATGTGTCTAGTGACCAAAGCTTCTGGGACGCTTCAGGGAAGCTCCACGGCGTACCTTCTGGAACTGCTCTGATTAACTACAGTAGAGTGGCTGCAGTGGAGAGTGGACGTGGAATGGATACTCTGCAATGCCAACACGTTTAGTTGAAGAAGTTTCTTGCAGGAAGGCCAAAATTTTCTACAAAGATGACACACAAAAACAAAAAGACTTATTAAACTTTTCTTTTTTTTTCTACCTTGATTATTGTGATGTATCAGGAAATTTATAACAATCTCTTTTCTTTTTAATCTACAGGAGCTCTGCCAACTCGAAATGCAAATATTACGTTGGAAATTTACATTGATTATCAGGATGCGTATAAGGATATAAATTCAAATGATGCATTAGAGTTTATAAAGAAATTACAACCAGAGGTAGAGATTTTATTTTATTTCATTCCATTTTTATCGCTAAATATTGCATTGTTAAATAACTTTCTGGTGTTTGACAAAATAACTGCAGGCAATTTTAGGTTTGTTAATCATTATTTAAAAAGATAAATCGTATCTTATGTCATTCAGCTGGAAGCACTTTGCAAAAGAGCGGACCCCGAATCCTTTGAAGCTGTCCAAGTTATAAAATTAACGTATGTTTCATCAAAGATTCCTGCTTAAAATATATATATATATTGCTATTAAATCTAAATGCAGAGTTCGTGACTCTTTCAAATAACATCTTTATAATTGCTTTATAACAGAAATGGAAGCGTTATCTCAGAGAGTGTGGTGATGTACAGCTATCAAAACAATGACACACATATAAGGTTTCTCAATACCCGGCTTGAGGATGTGCTGACTGATATCTTCAATGACACAAAAAACCTTGACAATGTTTATCAGGTTTTCAGTACCAATGTGTCATTTAATGGACTCAGCTTGCACCCGCCAATGATCACAGGTAGGTTTTCTCTGAACATGGTGTCAATTCTATTGTTTCATTCCCATATTAAAACGAAATTCATGTAAATTTTTCTATGAACCAGACATTGAACACCTGGAGCCTTTTGTCGACTGCTCCCATTTTAAAAATTACACTGCTGAGATCATTAGAGGTGTATGGCAGTGCGTTGGACCCTGCAAAACTAATCATGATTACTGCCAACAACGTGGAGATTGTTTTAATGACATCAATAAAGGACCCGTGTGCAGGTAAACTACAACATATGTTTGTCACCTGTTTAAGATTAAACCAGTCGTGTAGCTAGACAATTTTCTAGGGGTGACCAGGCAGGGACTGATGGGCTGCTACAGAGTGTTCTGGACAGCAAATCATAAAGGGAATGTTTTTCAAACAGATCAATTTGAGCACACATTGGCTAAAAGGTGGAAAGAGGCAATGAGGGAGGTTAAAGGGTTTTTTTTCAATTTGTGAATCTCATACACAGGCTTCAGCACATATATGAGTGTTACAAAATGTTTATAATGTGAATTCTGCATAATATGGGACCTTTGATTCACTAACATTTAAGATATTATTTAGTTGGGACATTCCACTTTATAGTATCACTGCTGCCATACTCTAGCTTAGAGGGGAACTGCTTGTTACAGTGGTGTTGAATTATGTCCACAACAACCATCACATTGTAGGGGTTGTATGGCCCATCCCATCTAGCAACACCCCTTCTTGATATCCTTATCATAACACAGTCGTTATTCTATGTACTCTTTACCTCAGGTGCTATCAAAACAGTTTCGAACAATACTATGGTACAAGATGTGAGTCCTTCCGCAGAGGTCCAGGTTTCTATGGTGCACTGTTTGGATCTCTGGCTATTGCACTCCTGCTTTTGATCACCATTATCACCATTGTGAGGTGGCGTAATGGAGGATTTTGGTGGGTTATTATCGTTAATTAGCGTAATATTACAAACTGGTAATATCTTTGTTTGTAATATTTAATTATTAAGAGAAAACAACATTTTTGTCTTCTTTTCCAGGAAAAGACAGTCAATCGACATATCACTACCTTTTAATGAAGATTTCTTTGATTTCTCCAACAGACGTAAGAACTGTAATTCTATTTTCTGTCATGTTCATCAGCATATTCTAAATTTCGATTACTAAGAAATTAAATGTTTTCATTTCCAGGGAATCGGGACTTTGATTTACAGGGATCTTACACCCTACACGGTTTTTAGAAAATATGAAACAGCTTTGCAGGTATTCTTATTTGCTCTGTATTCCTATGTATCTATATTTATCTATTCAAATAACAACATTGTTATATTTTTGAATACCCTATAAGATAAGAAAATCCAATGCAATAAATTGCTTACATTGTTCCCACATGTATACTCAAAGATATGCTCTGAATTATTAACATTTTGTTTGTGTGATTAAAAAAACATGAATGCTGTTTGGTGTTGGTGCTGAAAGGTGTTTCTTTAAAATGTAAAAAAAAACAACAACAAAAACTCCAATACATCACAGAAAAAACTGAGTATATTTATCAGGAAAAGAAAATATATGTTTGATTAATCAATCGGTTTTTAAAAAGTTTTGAATTTTGGTATTTTTTTCAAAAATTGACTGTAATCAAATGTACCATTTATGTGGCTTCATATAAAAACAGTTCAAGAGTAGAATAAAAGAGTGTAATAAAAAGAGAAGGGTCGTGTTTGAATCATGAGAAGTGCCGTCACTCCAGGAACCTCCTCAGTGTCTGGTGTCTGATTTGAACTTAAATCTAAGACCATTTTAGTAGAACGTAGATCTGAGATATCATTAAAATTACAGATATCCTATTTTTTTGTATTTTACCAGTTGATGCTACATCCATTAGTATGGATAAAATGCTTGAGAATGTGTTTATTGCTTAAATGCATTAAAGGTTAAACTAATTTTGAAGGACCTTCTGTATATCATGCTTATTTCCTCCTAACAAAGCTTGTGATAAAGTAGTGGCTTTTGCACTACAGGGTATTGTTGAGCTATTTTTCTAACCGGAGGAAAGACAGTTGCCTTCACCTCAGTGCCAGCTCTCCCCTTGGGTGGTGCATATTTTTATAATGTCACACTGGAGCAGATGCAGCATGATTTTATCCCATTTCTGGTGATTAAACTCTGCTTTAGGAAGGCTGAAAAAAAATTCTAAGACCCCTTGAAGCTGAGAAGCTCATTTTCAAGACTTAGACCCTACCTTAAAACACTCTTCTACTTATAATGGTGCAGACCAATTTTTTTTTATGAAGATGAAGGGAAAGCTGTTCAGAGAGAATAATTCATGATTATTACTCAGTACTTATGGTATAGAAGTTCAGCATGTTTTTTGCAGTAGTTCTTCCATGTTTGTTTCCTCTATTTTCTCTTGCATCTCTGCTATTCATCTCAATAACCTAAGAAAAGACGGAGGGCCAATCAGGAGCTTGTGGGTGGGCTAAACTAAGGGAAGTGGGCTTCAGCTTGGTACTAGTGCTTAACGAATGTCTGCGCACTGTAGCGTAATATTGTCTTTGGACACTAAAAAGTGTGGGGGACCAAAACTGACTTTTAAAAAAAAGTGCTGGGGACATTTCCCCCTTTTCTCCTGCAAAATCAGTCCTACTGTTAACAATAAATTCAGTTTAGTTCTAATTTAACATTAATTAACATGCAGACGGCCAGTTTAGAAACCCATGCACCACAACTGACACATTCAAGTTTGATTAAAACTTTAAAGTTACCTTAATGGCAAACCAAAATGATGGAGAAAAGATTCACTATACACAAAAGAGATTTAGCTTCTGCACCAGCTGTGAAGCACGACGGTGCAGACATCATTCAGAGCATCTCTGGACAAAAACAAACAACTATTTCAAGTTCAAATTGTATTATGAGTCCATATCTATCGCTTTGATCCTCTGTGTAAATATCCAAGATAAGTATAAAACTTATGCTGATTATCACCAGTTACCTTTAGATCTTAATTGTTTAAATATTGACCCTCATATTCAATATTTATTTCTCAGTATGCAACAGTGGAGGCTAACAGTGCAAATGTGAATTGTCTTTTAACAGGACAACATCTGCTAAAAAAAAACAGACTGTTTAATTTTGTTAGTCAGTGGATGCTAGAAAAATATCAGAGCCAAACAGCTACTGACAGCAATAATGGGAGGTTTCTCAGCAGCCAAGGCTTATAACTAAATGGGTGCTTTGAGGTCGCCACAGTAAACCCCAGGCCTAAATGTAGAAAGTGTGTCCGCTTTGTGAACTCATTGCTGGCAGTCGGTTCTACACGAGAGGAGCCCGATAACAAAATCCTCTGCTCTCATTCTACTTTCAGATAATCTATAATCCAGAGGTAAGCCTGGAGTCTGTGAGCTGGCTGCTCAAACTGAAGGTTATGGGACCGTAGGGCCTTTAAGATATGACAGATTTTACTCATTGAGAGCTATAGTAGACCTAAGATTTTTTATTTTTTGTTGCAGTCTTATAATGAGACAAGCAATCCAATAAATCCTGTTTGGCCTAATCTGTTCAAAAAGATCTTAAATTTAGCTTCCCAGGATGTGAATATACATGTAGAGTAATTTTATGATGGTGTGTTTTTGAGAAAAAGCAAGGACTGTTATTTATAAAAGATTAATTGAAAAGAGCCGGACAAACTGTTGCCAAAATATGCGTTGGGTTTGAGAAGAGGAGCAATGTATCCTGACCAGTTTATCACTGAGTGAGATTTTTCCAATTCACTCTGACAAAATACAGCACAAACTGTAGCTATAAATAGAACAGTGCATTTTAAAAAATCTGTCTGGTCTTTCACTTAGGGTTATATTCCTTATATTGCATCCTAGTATTTTGAGGATGTTTTAAAATCCACAAATAGTCTATTCTCTAGCTTTTATGTGAATGTGAATAAAAGTATAATCCTTTTTCTTGGGGTGGATGTTTGTCCATGAATCAGTCCAATCAAGTGTCTAGGTAAAAAGTAAACGTCTTATATAACAGCTTAGACACTTGTTTTAAATGTATATTTTTTCCCCCTTTTTAAGCTAATGATCTGATTATAATTAGTTGTACATTCATATTTTAATCAACAATAAATTCCCACTAAAACTCCTTAATGGCTGTATCAGCCTCCTGCCACTAGATGGCGGGTATGTTTTTACTAAGAACTTTAACTATCAAAAGGGAAAAGATGAGAGCTGAGAATATTTATGCATTTAGGATTTTAAAGGATATATTTAAACTATTGTTTTAAAAGTGATCCGTGTGTAAAGCAACTGTGATTTTAATAAGAATATCTTACAGTATAATGTAATAATCGCTCTCTTTATCTAAGGAAGAACCATTTGACAATACAGTTTGGACGTAAGAGTCTGAATGAAAACATAAATGATCTTTGTCTCCATCTAGCGGCCATAAACTATGTATCAACCTTTTTTTAAACCTAAGAATACATTTACCAAGCAGAACCTCAGGTTGGCTAAATTCAGAGCAAATTACAAGAAAAATGCATCCAAACAAAAAGACAGGCCTCCTTATATTTAAGATTTGTGGCAATGTACTTCACAGGTAAAATCTTATCTGCAAGAGTCCTAATAGGCTCTGCTTATTGTTTTTGGATGTTTTATTCAAAGTATCTTCGAGAAAATTAGTTTGAACATATTATTTTCTTTTTCTGAATACATGTTGTAATGATGGTCTCAGAAATAATTGAAACAAAGTGGGAGCCCTTATAAATAGTTTTATCTTATCAGATAAACTCTTTATTCTTGAATATATGCGCTTGGTAAATTATGTGTTGTTCATTATCACCTTTAAATTGTTAAAATAAATTGCTGCTGTAGCAACATTGTTTTTGCTTTGAATGTCTTTTATCATTTCTATATAGGTAAAACCTTATTAAATAAAAAAAGGCCTTTTTCTTTACAGTGCGCAATAAATATTAATTGGACTCAGAGGGGTGTTTAATTTCTGCTAACCAGGATGAATATGGCTTTCAGCTAATCATCCATACATTCTTTTGGTAAAAGGTACACCATGAACAGATCACTAAAGTATAACAAGCCGGCACACAGATGCAGAGGACTAATATTTATATACTCATCCAAAAATATGAGCCATTTTAGTAAAGTTAAATTTCCTAACTTTAGTATTTTTGAACTATGGTAGAAAGGTGAAGTATTTAGGTAAGTATGTGTGTTTTAACACACATGCAAAATCCATGCAGAGGGATCGAGCTAACAGGTAAAAAAAATAACCAACATTCAGTTTCTTTGAACAATCTGAATATGTTATAATGAAATGTGACATCCAAATCCCAGTTATCCAGCAGTGACAGTGAGCCATTCCTATTAGCTGTTAACGAAATGCTGTGTCCAAGGATATCTACGGTGTGGAAGGTTGTGTGGAAGGAAAAAGTCTGTTCCACATAAAAAGGACAGCATACACAGACATTTGCTGCAACTATTGCAATACTTTTGTAAAGCCACTCCTGAACCACAGACAATGTCAGGAGTGTCTTATTTGGACTAAGCAGAAAAGGGGTTGGAATGTTGAATTCAGTTGAAAAACACTTTATTAATGTGCTGAAAGCTGCTACTGAGGCAGCTCAGCTGCTCTAACACCTCAACCTTACTGACTGATGCAGTAAATCATGCAAAGCAAGTCTCAAGTATATAAATAACATTGTTTGGACAAAGTTTTAAGGAAGGCTGACATTTTTATATTGAAGATATGTTTTTATGCATCATTGAAATATTCTAAAAAAAAAACAAATTCAAAGTTGTTGGGGTTTGTTTGTTACATAAAAACCCGAAGTAACATTTGACATGTATCAATTTTATATAAATCTATATTAGTATAGATTTATATACCGTATTAAACAACCTCTGTTCATATGATTTACATTCAGTTGCATATCGATATATTTTTCTCAAAAAACATAATGTGCCTTTTCTTAGCTAGCCAGTAGAGGGTGGGAAACAATAACCGAGGTTTTAATCATATTTATAATAGTTTTTATCTAGAGAACAAGCTTCACCTGTCTGACAATTAGTAAGAACGTTAAGGTTAGAATAAAAATGTTATGCCTAAACTAAATTCACTTAACGGCATTGAATTAAAGTAAAACAACTTAGTGGTGAAAGAGAAGTTATGACAAATTTTTGTGCTTGAAATAAGGAAAAAGAAAGCGAACATAAATAGATTGTCCCGCTTAACTAATTAGAGAAATATCCCTCATCCTCTTAAAATAAGACAGAAAATAAATCACACAAAATCCCTTACATCCTTTTTTTTGTGGTCCAAAATCCTCTTCCTGAGTATTCAGAAGTTCATAATAAACTCTGCCTATTTCCAACATAGCTAATGTTTCAAACGCATAGTCTTTGCTTCTTTGGTTTTCATTGTGGGTGCTCATGCTGTCGCCTAGCATGTTGCCTGAGTGAAGCAAGAGAAAGGGTTTGTGCATTACCTGAACGGATTAAGCTCCCATCCTTTGTTAAAAGATAGATAAATAAACCAACACTTAATCTGCAGAACCACAAATTATAGCTTGGCTGAGAGGTTTTAATGGGTATAATATAACAGCAGCTGATTTGCTGCTTAGTTAGGGGAAATTTGACCTCCATGTGTCAGCCACCTGTACTCTACACAAGAAAAAAAACAAAAAAAAACAATGTTAAGTGGATTGAAAAAAAAAAGACTTTTGTTTGCAAGGCTGGGTGATAGAGAGAACCTAAGCAGTCACGCAAGGAGGAAATTGCATTTTAACCAGGAAGAGGAAGATTGTACACCTGTCGCTCTTCTTTCTCTGGATAGAGGCCAATAACAATAAAGCACAGCATGAGGGCGTGTGGGTGATAAAACAGGCCAAACAGCTGAAAGGAGCTGAGTTCATTCAGATTCAAGAAACAAGACTGAAGCAACCTCATAAATAAGTCATTTTATTTTGGCTTTCTTTTAAAAGACTTCGCTATTCAAAATAACAAATGGAATTTTTAAATACTGTACAAAGCATACTAAACTCTCCCAGTGCATTTCATTTCAACCACAGCAGAGAAGTTATTTCTTGATATACTAGTCTTCATTTAGTTTCATTATTTCTCATAAGACAAACGAATACCTTAAGATTAAATAGTGTGTGATGTAAACATCTCAGATTTTTAGGTCAAAAAGCAACATTGTGGATGGCAAAGCCTGTGAGAAAGAAGAGGATGGAGAAAGGAAGGAAGAGTAGACTTCAATGACTGACTGACCTCAGAGGTTATATTTCCAAAAATCTGAACACCATGTTTGATACTGAAGGGGTTACTTCTATGCATGCGCTACAATTTTCACAACATCCGGGTGCTTGGTGAATAATCTACGACAATAAAACTCATACGTTCTTCCTGGCTGCCAGCAGCCAAAGTCTTTAAGGCCACACCCACTGCAACCACATAAGGTTAGGAATGCATGTGCAGAACAGGAAAGTCTGTGTCAAGCAGACAGGAGGGTAAACCCTGTGCTGTCTCTGCAATGCATCTGTATAAACTGGTTGGACTGACTTATCTGATTTTCAACCTGCCTGATTCAAAACCCCATTTATGGATATCCGGTTAGAACTAAGTCATACATTGAGCTTTCTACCACATCTCTTTGGACAACTTTAGAGGAAACATTAAATGAATAGAAACATTTGGTAATACTTTTTCACAACTTGAACCATAAGTAACCCTGAGCTCATCTTGCCTTGATAGTCAGATTTGAGAATGATGAGAAGTTGTTTTTGGATTTGTTGCCCAAAATCTAAAATACAGCCGAAATACAATATATCAATTTCTAATTTAAGCATTCAAACATTAAAATGGGCATGTTCAGGAAGTTTGAACATAAGTTGCAGAAGTGCTAACAGACAAACAGTACCTGGAACTTTCGTTATGTTTTAGAAGTGCAGAGGCCAAATTGAATATCACTTGGGGGGGTCTTTCTGTTGATTTTCTGACAGAGAACTTGGAAAAAAAGATATCTGTACACAAATAGAAGCAACTATTGGTTACTTTAAGAGTTCAAGGAAATTTCTGTGAGTATAGCAAGCACAATTGCTGTGCAGGAAATCAGACCTGGAAACAGACTGAAAGTAAATGAACTTGTGCGTGGAAAGAAAATAGCACACAGTAACAGGATGCATTGAGAATTCTCTACATATTGCAGAAGGTTCACCTCTAAACTACTGTATATCACATGCACAAACACAAACGCTCTCATCAACAGACAACTTCTCCATATAAGCTGCACCAAAGATTCCTTTGGAAACAAGAATAGCTACCAGAAACAAATTGCCATGTGGAGAAAACATGGCTCAAGCAGAACTGGAACTACATTTCAGAAATGTTGCAATACAACATCACACTGCTGGCTAGGATCCTTCATTTCAATAAAAAAAAGTTCACTGGGCTTGGGTTTAGACTTCATATATTAAGTGTTACATGGTTTACATTTACTGACCTTTTGTCCCTTGCAAGATACAAAAGCAGCATCACAGAAAGCCCGATGTGCATTACATAAAAAAAAAAAAACATCCCCACCATTCTAAACACAAAACACTGTGCACATCAGGTGCAAGGCCCGCTTGCACCATCGGATTGTACCACATCATTAACCACAGCTAAAACAAAAAAAAACACAATACAGTAATGAATGTTATGAAATAAGATCATATCAAAAATAAGCTCTACAATGCTTTTGATCACAATCTTTAGTCCAATGACGCATCTTAGTTGTGATAGCTGTTCAACATTAACAGTAACTACATACAGTACACACATACCCTGTGAGTTTAGAATACGTGTGGGTATTTAGCCAAAAAAAAAAAAGAAAACAGTAAAAAGCAGCAGTTAGACGGTTGTTAGCGTCTTCTTTCATTGTTTTGTGAAGTGGTACAGTCCCTCTACTACTTCAATCAGAACCTCTCAAATTAAACAAAATCTACTTTCCTCTTGGTGTGGCAGTCACAATCTGAATCTGCAAACACAGACCTCTGAGGCATAAGGTAGTAATGTGTGTGGCTTGTCTCCCCATCCACCATGACAGGGAGGATGCATGGAGAACCCTCGCTGTTCTGTCTGTGAAAACAACGCCCGCTGACGTACTTTGGGTCTGGTGCAAAACTCTGGGTGGGGGGCATGATCCCGTTTGCATATGTGGGGATGCTGGATGGGCTTGGTGTTCGGGAGATGCCTCTGGCCCTTGGGGGCAACTTGGGTGGTTTGTCCTCATCACTGTAAGCCCCAGACGAGACCTCTGCTGACCAGCGGCGCATGTCCCCGGTCTTGGTATTGCGGGGTGGGATTGGCGGTGGCACCTCCGATTTACCTGTGCCATTGGTGTAACGCTTTTGACAAAGGCGCAGCAGTGAGGGTTTGTGTAAAGATCCTGCCGGGCCAGAGTGAGAACGTCGCAACTTCCTTTGAGCTTTGTCTTGCTGTGTTGGACAGACCACATGCTTTGGTGGCTCTTGTCGCTGCTGTTGTCGCACTTCATGCGGGGGATGTGTCTGGTGGTGCTGGGGTTGGGGCTGCTGCTGAGTTTGTGGTCCTAAAGGTCCGTCGTTATAACCATAGTTTATTTTTCCGGGGTCCCTCAAGCTCCTTCTGCTAGAGAGTCCATATCGAAAAGAAGGTTTGGAATACTGCTCTTCATTGGACACAAGGCGACAACTGTCATCCGTTCTAGTAAAAAACTCCACCTCACTGTCCATAGCCTGCTCAGCGGAGATGTCCGTTTGTGGTGGGATGGGCGGCAGGGGCTTTGAATATCTATCTGGCGTTGAAGGTGGGCTGCTCTCATAGAAGGACAGCCTCTTAAATGAGGGAACCACCTGGTCATCATCTGCAGGACTTGGGGTGGATGGTTCTGCACTACTGGACAAGGACAGATGGGAGGGTCGGGATTTCTTTGGAAGTAATCTTTGAGACTTAGGACTGCTATTAGACTCTACCAAAGAAAAGACACAGCACAGAAATCAATGAATCAGTGTCACAAGACTTGAAGATAAAATGTGTCAATGTCAGTGAATGTCAAAAAAATGGAATGTGTTTTCAAAAGAAAAAAAAAGAAATCACAAAAGGAAAACATTTAAAACATTAAAAAAAATGTGCACTTACTCTTATGACTTTGAGGTGACCCTCTTTGCTGACTTTGGTAACCTCGGTCTATATGTGTGTCCATGCTGAAGTAGAAACTGTTAGACAAAACATGATGAATGTTAGATGCTCAGAATTTCTAAGGACACAGATATACATCTTTTTGTTCACAATAAATATGAGACCAAGCTAAACAGTTTCACTTAAACATATTTTGTCAGAATACCTAAGCCCCACAATGGACTTTTGGAGCTGAACACTCACTTGTCTGTGGGTTCATGGCGGTAGCTCCAGGAGGGCTTGGATCCAGCCATGCTGTGACAATTTCTGCCCTGGAGGAAGGGGTATTCTATGGGAAAAGAGATCTCCTGGGCAGTCAAGCCCACTGTGGACATGCTCCAGGCACAGTCGGATCGCATTAAAGCCAGGAAACACTTTGATCACCCGGCTGGCTGCCCTTGCCTCTCCGCTCTACCTAAAAAACACAAAGAGCAAGATGGTTAGAAAATAAAAACTGAGGAAAAAGAAGGGGTAAAAGGAAACAGCTAGACCAGGAGTCTTCACTAATGGCTTGCGGAGGTACTACTGGGAGTTCAGGAAATCTTCTGGGAACCAAATAATCAATTCAGGCAACATAACATCTGCAATACTTGTTACCTTTACACAAGAATCAAAGGTTTACGTTAAGATCTGGAAACTGTGGAGGTAGTCTTGATTGATTTTGTTGTATATTTTTCAAGTGAAAATTAGTTCTATGACAGTTTTATGCTAATGTAGTATGTGTTTATAGATTTAATTAAACCTCTTTTTTTATTCACCGTCTCTTCTCCATGTTTGACTGATAGTTAGTGGCTTTGAGAGTAAGTGCCAACTTTCAATTTTCTTTTCTGCGCTTCACAATGGTTCTAGTTTATTTTAAAACTTGACTGTTCATGGTCCAGTGCTGCAATCCTGCTCCTCCTGAATAGGAAGCTATAAGGGGCTCCTCCTGTTACTGCGTATTGGCTCGATGTTGCAAGAACTCCTAGTGACCTGAATGCATGTGTCGTCAAGTATGTGTGAGGCCTCAGCACACAATGGATACAATATTCAGAGGGGTGGAAACCTTGAAGCATATTGATATTTCTGGGGTCAATTTTGTGCGCTGGGAGCAAAACTTGATCCAGCTTTTGTGTGACGAAGAAACCATATTTACATATGTCACTGTTTAAGTTGAGTTGTGCTCAGAATGGCTGTTGGATTTTTGTAGTTTCTTTACAATTTCAGCATATCATGTATAAACAATAGATAATTTTTAACTTAACTTTTTTTTTTTTGCAATATTTTACCAAAACAACACAACCTTCTCTTCTTCAGACAGGTTGTATGAGTTCCTAAACAAAATCTGATTTGGGGGACCTTCCAGCAAAAGCAAATGACGACAATTATACATTTGATTTGTTATGGAAGTTGGATCTTGGAGTTTTGAATGACATTCCACAAAGTTCGTTGCATATTGATGGTCAGGAAGACAATTTGATATGACTAATTATTTCAGATGTTTAGATTAAAATATTTTGTTTTTTTATAACTATTAGTACCAATGCCAGATGATAATATTGCCATTTTCTTTGTTATATACATCCAAACACAAAAGAAACCTATTTGTAAATAGAGGTTGAGTTTAACAATTATCTGCTGTTTAAACTGTATTGGTACCATCAGAAATCCAAACAGAAATATTGCACCTGCAACTTTTATACGGTCTTATATGTAGGGGTTCTATATTGGAAGGTGAACTTGAGTCTGTCTTGCAAACCCCCACTTTCACATTGAGGATCATGGCTTCAGGGAGGGATATTATTTGATTTTCCACAATCAAGATCAAAGTTCTGTTTACAATAACCAATGGAAAACATGCAATTAATAATATTTACCTACTTACTAACAGCTTCAATGTGTATGCAACCCCAGCCTAGTCACAAGAAGCCGAAAACATATTTCCTATTTAATCATTGTGTATTTGGCTTGTGTGGGAAAGCAAAATATCAGATGTAGGAATTACTTGACCAAGTTGATCATGTTCAATTTGCAGTTAAGGAAAAAATTGCAGAATTTGCCAATTGTGGTGCTACCACGACTACCATTGCCGTTTAACAACACTTATATAACAAGAGATGTTTTTTTCTCCATTTAATGGATTTCAACACTAAGAAAAAATGTTCACTAGTAGAGGTTGTACAAAACTATGTGTACCACTTCTAATAAATAATAACAGCTTTCTACATGCTTCTGTAACAACATTTAAATATCAGATATGGAAGTTCTCAAAATCTCACATCCTTCCAAATCCGGCAATATTGTGATGTAAGGAAGTTTCAAGTTTAATTAAGGGTGTTTGTTTATCAATCCAAATTCTAAAGATGCTCCAGTCTAAATCGGCATCGTCCAATTTTACTTTCCTTAGCACTGAAAACTCATCAATAAATCTAATATAGGTCTAAACGAAATTGGATAAATGAATGGGGAGGTTATTGAAATTCATACCTCTATCAAATGGCTTGCAGCAGATTTAATTTATTTTCATTATTTAGAGAATTAATTTAAAGCATACAGGGGAAAAAAACGTAATTACATCTAAAACAAAACATAAAATCAAATCAGCCAAGAAAACCCTATTTTATGCATCTGTATAACAAGCATGTGTGCAACAATCCAGTTTAATTAGCACCATTAATGACTCTGTTATAATACCTTTACATTATAGAAGTTATTATGTGCAACTGGTGCATGTTCCTACACCAGTCCAAGTGTTGCAAAGATTGCTTATACAGCAGGCTTGCTTTGTGAAGGAGTGATGACCCCTGTTTTCCATGAGCCTCATATTTATGTGTTGACCTGACAGCTGTTGAGAAACAAAGCTCTAAAACAACAGGAAGCACAGGGGGGTAACAAGACGAGCCGAACTGCCCAACAACGCATGCAGGATCCCCAGCCCCCCTCTTCCTCTCCCTCCTCCTCATGTTCTGAGCTGTCGATTCGGTTCGGCGGAGACGGGAAGCAACATGATCCTCGATAATGAAGCCCCTGAGGCTTGCGCTTCCTCTTGCAACAGGTGCAAAGACTGTCCATTCTGGCAGCCAACCAACCACATGCGCATTTACAGGCAACATGATTAAACAAAAGATGTACCCCCCCCCCCCCCCCCCCCCCTTCCTTAGGAGAAATTCTTTCAGTCAATTAATTCTGACCTTCTGACCATGTGGGTCTTTTTACGCATAAGGAGTTCCACAAAGTCTTATTAACAAATAAATAATAATACAGATAATAGGTCGGTTATTCTCTTTGATTTTAAAAGCTGGTAGTAGAAGTCAGAGGTTTAAAGCAGCGGTTCACACCCCGCTCCTGACACCCCTGCAGCAGTTTCCGAGCAACCATACCCGCTCTACCTGTGCTGCAAGCAAACAGCGCGCACACCCCCTCACTTTACCGGATTGAGATAATAATGGTTAAAAGCCCTGTAGCAGCCAGGTGACTCACGTCACAACACTGGGCAGATATTTTGCAAGGCCGAGCAGAGAGATGATACACAATGTATTATTTCCTTTTTATCTATAGATGGGATCTGGAACTAAGACTGCAGCCCCTAAATTAAATGCTTCTTTAAATAGGTATAAGCGATTAACAAATAATCACTTGTTTTATTATACTGGCATAATAAAAAACATGTGATTATAAATTTTGTTTGTAAGTTATTTGTCAGAAGTAGGATTTCAAAGTTGCGCCAATTTCGTTTGTTTTGTATGTTTAGTTAAAAAGTACATGAAAAAAATGAAATTAAGTAGAGGTAAAGAGTGTGATGATAAGGCTGCATCAAGTAGGCTATTCCCCAAACAGAAATATAACATTACAAACTCACCTAAATAACTCCTCTAATCTCCCTCGCTGTCTGACGCGCACAGTCCTCTTTTCTTATAATAATTTGCTATTTTTCTCCGGTTTTAGTGGAATTGTTAAAATCTTCAGATTTCTGGTGCATCAACAGGACGCCTACAGGCTGACGGCGCTCCGGCTTTACTTTGACACTTCTAGATCTCTCTGGTGTTGTGCTGGGAAGCGTTTTATAACGCCACACCATGGAGACGCACTGGCTCCGCCTCTGGCCTCTCTTAAAGGCGCAGTCCATCCTTTGCGCCAGTCATCTGATAGCACGTCAGTTGAATATTGATTGGAGAATCGCGCTGAAGCACATGCATAGGGACACAAATATAGTCGATGAACTATTTAGAATAGGCTTATTAGTATCATAGTTATTCTTTAAACTTGCATATGCATGGAATCAAATTAGACAAAATAAATGTTTCTGCAGAATCTCATGATTGCATGTAATATCCAATCAAATTAGACAAATAGACAAACAAGTGGTTTTCATTGATCACTGTAGTGTCCTGCTACTCATGAGGTGGACACCGGGGCTTTTTCCATCTTCCAAATTTTACAAGATCCCATTAAGGACTTGGTGTGTTTCTATTGCAGGTTCCCCAATGTTAAACTATTTTTGATCTTTTTTTTTCTTTTTTGTGTCCTTTTTTGCCAACATTGCTCTGGGAATGTCCCAGAACTTGATGATAGCCCAATAATTTGTTTTCACCAGCAGACCATTATGACTGTTGCCATAAGGTTCTTTGTGGTACTCATGTTTAAAACTTTAGTGAAAATTATTATGCTTTTTAAATAAAATATGTATGTCCGCAATTTGTTCTTGTACTGTAGGTGCAAAATCCAAACAATGTTGTCAGAGATGAAAAAAAATCATTTTAGGACAAATCAACATGTCTGATTAGTCCATTGTTGACAAGCCTCCTGGTCTGATTGACAATTAATTCTTATCAATCAGCAAATCCAGCAGTTTTTTGGTCTGCAACTAGAACCTCTTTACTCTGGGTGTAGCTTGCATCATATTTTAAACTTTATAAACAAACCAAAGGCACCTAAATAATTCCATTGTGTCTGGGCTTAGCTCACATTCAAATTTAAACAGTTTATGAGCAAGGATTAGCCTTTTTTTTTTTACCTGATAGTTCGAACTCACAAATAAGCGAGTTCAGTAATGACTTCAGTAATGAACATGGATGTAATACATGTAAAGTGGATTGGACGTTACTGCTATATGGTTTTTAATGATTATACTTTGTATCAAATTAAACTTGCAAGTAGACTTGGATGTTTCTTGGTTCAAGAATGTGACAAATGATTGAAGAAACGCATAATTACAAGGGACTTTTAATGAAGAATCCTGCATAGAGCCTCAGACAACCTTAGGTTAGGCTTCTCAAACTTTCCCTTGTATAAATGTGTTAATTAAATACATACAATTATAAGCCTGAGTCTGCAGTGGCAGAAGTACAAAGCTGCAGGAAGTGGGGGGGTTATTGTTGTTTTTTTAAATCTTACTCTTTTTTTCCCGCTCAACCAGAATTGATTTCAGTACACCAACAGTGATGATCCCTTAGCACAGATGCATGAGAGTACTGACAGAGAAAAAGAAGTCTCATTAACCTGAAATAAACACAATCTTCGATCCCAGTCTGTCACACTAAACATTTCTTTCCACTTAGCCTTGTTAGGCCATAAGTTGTGTTGAATTAACTCTGTAAGCTAGCTGAGCTAAACAAACCCAACAGTGGCATGCACACTACGCCAACACAGTGACACAATGGCTACAAACAAGTGGATTCAACAGAGTCAGAAAAGCAGAGGTGTGTTTGTGCAGAACGAGAAAGAACAGACTGTTCCTCTTCTTGAGTTTGGGAATCCTTTGCAGCTTGTCCCCCTCTGTGTCCAAACCCAAGTGGCTTGTCATTACTTGTTTGGCCCTTGTACAGGCCAGACACTCACTAATCCCCTTTATGATTTCAGTTGCATTTTTCAAATTCCTGCAGACAAGATGTGACCAATGAAGAGAAAATAGGTGAACTCTATAATCTACTTTAGCAAAAAGTCAGGATTCGAGTTGGTGAGTTGTGCAGAATAAAGGTAAAAACTGGACAGCTAGTTCAACAACTTTGTTAGTCGGTTTTTATTTTAAATTACACAGTGTATCCCCAACTGAGTGGGTTTCCATGTGCCGCCAAAAACATAAATAGACTTCATGTCAAAGTGATCTCTCCTCCCTACATTTCCCCTGTCCCCTCCCTTCTTCTAAGCACTCTGTGATGTCATTGCTTACAGGAAGTGCCTTTTAAAGGTAGTCATTAGAGGAAAAAAACTAAGCCAGGGAGTAAGATAAGCCGGCACAGCCAGAGGCAGTCCTGATGAGAGGTTAAGATCTCAGATCTTGTGTCAGAGAGGATATACCCTCCTCGGGAAACATTTCTGTCTTCTCTTTGGGTTTTTCTTTATAATGACTCATGTTTGGGCTTTGCCTGACAAGTTTTTCTCAAAGACTGGACACCTTTGGCTTATTTCATCTCAGCTGGTGTAAAAATACAAAGAAAGGTGTCTCTACTGATCACATTCCAGCATATCAGAGGCTATACATGAAGCTCTGCTTCTGTCTCAGCTGATTACTATAAATCCTTCACTAGCATGAAAAAGGGTGGAGTTCTGTCACGTAGGCACAAAAAAAATTACTATTTTTGTAAATGATTTTTCTCTTTGGAGGTCAGAGCATTAATTGCCTCTGTTGGCTGAGGTAATTAGATTACATATTCAGTCTGCTTCCAAAGTTCACTCTGATATTCACACGGCAGCAAAAAGCAGTGCAGTGTAGTGATGGACTACAGTCTAATGATTGTAAAAAGCTCACTTTAAAAATAGTGCAAGAGTGACAGCCAAAAAAAAAAAAAAACTTTTTCAGTGTCTGTATAAAGAATAATCAGAAGTCATACTCAGCATTTTTAAGCAAATATGGCTGCAAGGTTTGCTCTGTTTGTAATTGTTTGCACACTTGTCAATTATACTGTTTCAGGTGGTTCATATTCGTTTTCTCCCCAATTTGAATGAAAAAGAATGCTTTGTTTTACATTTCAATTTCCTGTTACTTTGGTGTGTCCACAAAACACTAGAGTAGCCTCTTGATTTAATAAATTAATAGTTCTTTAATATAACAAAAACCCGATTTGCTGAAATTTCAACCATAAGATGCAGCCTTTTCTACCTGCTCACTGAACTGACCCAAGTGTTTGTAGCTACTGTTTATTTCCAATGTGATCAATGCTAACATAGCAATGAACAAGCTGCAAAACAGCATTTGCAGGTGACCCAACAAAATCCCAACTAATTTTATCTCAAGTCTGATTACACAAACATAAGGACTGAGTTATAATTTTTTCTTTAAATGTCGGCATTAAAACAAGGAAGGGTGAAAACAGTAGACCAAGCTTATGCATAGCTTGGCCAACCTGATTGTCTACAAGGGGTGTAAATCCGCCAAGTAAAGCTAAGACTCTCCAGTCTAAAATAGACCAATCTGAAACACACTTGCATCAGAATTACCCGTATACCACAACAGTCAAGATTGCAGCCAAAATGGAGTAATGTTATAAGGATGCCTTTTATTATGTCTGAATGTGCTTGATATCTTTAAAATTTCAACAACTAGCTCCTGTAAAAGATTTTTTTAAAAGATGTCTTTGCATAACGGCCTTTTTTCATGATCTTCTCACTGATGTTCGGACTGATTACTCATCTGACACATTTGCTTAGCTCTGCGCAGTTCTCATTTTCTGTTTATCTGATCCACCTGTACTAGTCTTTATTTAACCAGCTGTCAGACCAGTCATCAGTGCCAGATTACTTTCGAGCCATTGGTGAGAATTATTCTAGCGTACCTGTGTTCTGACTGCCTTACCCTGACCCATTCTGCCTCTTGACCTCTGAGCCTGCCTGTCCCCATCTGATCTGTTTGCCCGACCTGTCTTCTGACTCCCGCTGAATCTCTGCCTGTCTGTGCGCCGAACCTGGAACTGTGACCCGACTCCAATCTGAATTCTCGCTTGGCACCTTACTGAATCTCTGACCTCCTGGCTCTGAAAACCGAGCACATCACTGGCTTTGGCTTTGCCCTCTGGATTGCATTCACCTGCTTTGTCCCGATCTCCTGCCTGACATCCGACCACCGATGCATCAGTTTCTGGATCTCTCCGTGCATGCGGCCACCGCTATGTCCCGTTGGCAGCTGACTAGCTGGAACTGACCTGGTTAGTGCCTTACGTTTGTTATCAACCACTTCCAGAAAGACGTGATCACCAAACTGTTGTCTCCACCTGCAGAGGTTCCTGCTCACTTAGGTTCAGTTTCCAATAAATGCATTCGAACTAGATTAAGTACCAGGGAAGGTGCCATAAGCTTGCTGTAGTATTCTTCTTTAACTGTTTACTGCAGTAAGCCACACTGTCCCCCTACCAGGGATAAATGGTTACTGGCTTGTAACCCTGACACCGGTGATAATGATATGCATAGTCAGACTGGTGTAACAGCATGCCAAGGCCCACATCCTCATGTGCCCAAAGACCCCAACCATATTTAAGGATACTGTTTGTTGATTTTATCTAGGCATTACTTGAGTCCCAGCCAGTTGAATCATTAAACTGCTGAAGGTGAAATTATAAAACTTCCCTCTCAGTGAATCAAGTGAGGACTTCCTGACTAAAAGATCCCAACATGTTAGGAAAACCTCCATATCCTCCACCATTTTTCTGTTATGTTGTTGTTACATATACCGGTTTTCTGATCATCAAAAAGCAATATCAAGGCCATACAGATTGAAGGTCCAAACACTTACAATCTCTGCAGTAACCACCACCACAGCTTAACATCAAGAAGATGAAAGAGATTTGATTATTTACTTCTGGAACTCAATGACATATACAATTAATCTTCTACTTATTGTTGCATACTGTTTTGAGCTATTTGACCGATAATCATTTTGTTGAAAGCATTTACTAACATAGTAGGACCTATATAATTTCTCCAAGCATTTCTATGAAATATAAAGTTTTTAAACTTTAAGTAATTAAACATTAGCCGTGCATTTTTTATACATCGGATACTATAGCATATGGGATCTAATCCACATCTAAGCTTGACTGTCATAGATTGT